ACCAGGGATACTAGGGATTTCAGAATAAATTATGTTGAAAAGTTCTTACAAGTAGAAGCAACGAAATCAAGTTACAAAGCTTGGTTCTTTTTCTAAAGGAGGATCATTTTACCTGGCTATGGCAATAAACAATAGTTTTATGGCTTACATGAACTCACTGTGGTTCTCAAAGCCAGCATGTCAAACGCTCGCAGTTCTTAGCAACACTTTCTTTCCCCGTTCTTTCTGGTCTTAGAAAGAAAGTCTTTTTTCATTTTGCTTCGGCAAATACCAGCGCAGAAAAAGGGTAGGAAATGTAAATCATTACTATTTCATCACAACCGACTTTTATTACTGCAGTCATAAGCATTGGGGTACACCCTTTTTCTTTCACACGTGTTCCGAAATTTCCATCGGTCTACGCTGATTTATATTTATAAGATCTGGGTAAATGTTATCTTCAAGGCGGCCAAGGACCAATTGAGACGGACGAAGAGGATCATTGATAACTTAAGGCCCTTCTGGATAATCAAGTTCACCTTCTTTCATCCTTAAATGCCTATCAGTGAAGAGTGTTTCTTACACACAAATTTATGTCTCGAAATATTAATTTAAGGAATTTGCCGAACTAGGTAAGCGCAATTTTTCTCTTTACAACATGTCACTGTCATGAACTCTTGCGCAATCCACAACGACTTCGATTTCGCAATTCAAGGAATAATAAACAGTTACCTTTCGATGATGTTTCCTACAGTGTACTTCGCCACCTACACATGTGCCCATTTTTGTCTAGATTTTACTTGCTTGATATCGCCATAATCTCATTTTTGATTTCCAGAGTATTTCAGATTATCTTCATTTTGAACATAACATGAAGTTTCTTCTGATTAGTTTAAGATTTTGAGAGCCTTAGAAGAAAGGACTGAAGTAACGTTATATTTTCAGCAATAATGGAAAAGAGCGACCAGTTGGAAAAAGATGTCTTAGATCTTCATGGCGAAACACGTGATGCGAACGTAGATCTAGGAAAAGCTGAGCCAAGCGCTGTAGGATAAGTGTCCTATTAGAGGCATGTAAAACATTGGCAAAATTCTGTTTAGCTCAATGTTGATGTTTCGATGTCTTCGGGTAATCCGCAAAGTATCGATCCTTGGACTTTGGTTGATGTTGATGAAATTGCAAATCAAACAATGAACAACTTCTATGAAAAAGTGAAATTTTGAGGTGGGCAAGCAATTCATTTGCCTAATTTTGTTATTTCCAGATAAGTTCCAAAGACTGGTACGCGAGGCAGAAGAGTTTAAAAAATCTTCTGACAGTTTTCGATAGCGCTCCACCT